TGAGCATTTGCACTGAATTTCACAGCTCATAAAGCATCATAAGCTCCATTAACTCCATGCAGGCAGAAATTTTTGTCTATTTTTTTCAATAGTATAATCCCCAGTGCCTAGAACAGAAACCAGCATACGAGGAGATGCTCCATACATGTGTTCAGTGAATTCTCACCACAGTCCTCTGACGCAGTGTCCCTATTAAGTTAAGAACATGGAGGTCTGGGATTTGATGCCACTTGTCTATGGTGATTGCAGCGGAGAGGGACAAGTGTGCAGGGATGTTAGTGTGTCACTTGGGTCGTGTGAAATTCAAGCTACCTTAGACACCTCCAGCTGGAGATGCCAACCTCCCTTGTATCCGGAAGGGGTTTTTCTCTCCCACCAATTCCTAAAATACTTTTTATACCATTTCCCCACCTCAGGCAATTAACACATACTGCCTGGTTTTATGATGATCTCTGTGTGGGTCTTATTCTTCTAACTACTTTGTAAACTTGGCAATAGGATTAATAGTGTGAAATTCTTTTTGTTACCCTTATAGGACCTACCTAATATAAAGGCTATCACAGGTGTCAGGTGCTGAATCCGGGCAACTTACCCAAGATTCCTCTAGCAATGGCTGTCAATATGTCCACAAACCCATGTCTTTTTCTTCCTGGATACACAGCACATATACTTCCTAAACTCCTTTGAAGTTAGATGTGACAATGTGACTGAGCTCTGGATAGAATATGGGCAAGAGACACTCAAGTCCCCGGGGGCTGGCCCATAAAAGTCCTGCTTAGTCCTCTACACTCTCCCTCATCTTCCCCTGCCGGATTCAGGGAATTCAGGGTGAACTTCAAGGCCTGAAAGGATGGCAGAGCCTGAAAGAGCAGAGCCTCACCACGTACATACGTGACCCTCCCTGGACTACGGTGTGAACAAAAAATAAATCTTGCATTGTTGAGCCAGTGAGGTTTGGGGATTGTCTGTTACAGCAGCTAGCATCTCCTGCCTCATACAGTTACCAGACTCGTCAGTACCAGATCTGGGTGCTTATTTTGTGATTCCTGGGCCAGTGCCCTTTCCTATCAGTTATCATGACAGCTTTGAATTTTTTATTGGAGTATAGTTGAGTTACAATGCTGTGTTAACTTCTGCTGTATAGCAAAGTGACTCAGTTTTTTATATATATATATATAGTTATATATATATAGTTATATATATAGTTATATATATATAGTTATATATATAGTTATATATATATAGTTATATATATATAGTTATATATATGAGCACAAATATATACACATATATATGTGTGTATATATATATACACATATGTGTGTATATATATTCTTTTTTATATTCTTTTCCATTATGGTTTATCCCAGTACATTGAATATAGTTCCCTGTGCTATACAGTACGACCTTGTTGTTTACCCATCTTATATGTAATAGTTTGCATCTGCTAATCCCAAACTCCCAGTCCATCCCTCTCCCTCCTGTCCTCTATGTCTGTGAGTCTGTTTCTGTTTTGTAAATAGGTTCATTTGTGTCATTTTTTAGATTCCACATATATGTGATAGCATATGGTATTTGTATTTCTCTGACTGACTTACTTCACTTAGTATGATAATCTCTAGGTCCATCCATGTTGCTACAAATGGCGTTATTTCATTCTCTTTTATGGCTGAGTAATATTCCATGGTACCACATCTTCTTTATCCATTCATCTATGACCGCTTTGAATTTATTTAAATGAAGACACCATTGATAGCATACGTGATTGGAGCAGGAAGGACTTAAGTGAGGGGCTGGACTCCTCAGGTACACATGCAGGTCTTCTTCTAACAGCCTTTTGAATCACACTGGATGATAACCCCCTTGACATGGGATTCTTCCATCTTTCTCCTTGTGTCCCAGCTCTAGCAAGATCCACGAGAGCAGGGGCTTTGTTTCCTCATCTCCAGCATGTAGACCAGTGCCTAACAGGTACACAGTAAATGTATTTGGGGGTGGTGGTGCTGGTGGTCCAGCAGTTAGGATTTGGCACTTTCATTGCCATGGCCCGGGTTCAATCCCTGGCTGGGGAACTAGATAGATATATATATATTTTTTTGAGTGAATAAATTTATAGATGAATGAAATTGCCCATTAGCCTTCAGCACTCTGGCTCCGTGTTGAAATGGCCTGATTCTAACCATTTCTGCCCTTTTGGTTTCACTCCATGATGTTGTTATTCCAGAACAAATGAAATAACTATGTCACAGTCTATGGCTCTGTTAGAAAACTGGAGTCCACCACCCCGTTTCAACACATTTCCGAGCTTTGAAACTGTCATCGCCAAAAGGTGCTGACAATTCCAGGGAGAGGGAAAACAGAAATGCACAGGTCCTCGTTAGGTACAGCATGTGAGACTGTCTGTGAAGCTCTACACGCTGTGAACTGAGCTCATCTTGACGAAGCCATAAAGGGGACTGTTGCCCAAAACCCCCAACGCCGATGCATGGTCAGGACAGGAATCCATACTCCGCACTAGGCGGATGTTCCCACCACTTGGAGACGGCTGTTTTATCGCTGCCCACACCCAGGAGAACTTCTCCTGAATGACAAATGATTCTCTATCACAGGATGTTAAAATAAAATTCTCATGTGGTGTTCTGAGACAGATACCAGAAATTAAAGTATCAAATAGTTTGAGGGGAAGCAGCAGTTCCACAAAGCTCGTTGTTCTTTTGTTCCTGTTTTAGCAGCGCTTTGAGTCTAGATGTTTCATGATAAGCTATTGAATACTGTCCAGATCCCCAAGTCCTTACACGAACATTGGTGTCTCTCAGGAGGGCCTGTCTGTGCTCTGGGAACTCCCCGGGAAGGGACTGGATACACGCAGCATGTTCCTAGTTCTGTCAAGACCTCAGCGTTAAACAAATGCGGTCCTGATGTCCTTATCTGTCAGACCCCAGATGTTGGAAGAGGCAGAGAAGAGGGTGGTCAGGAGAAAGAAACATTCTCCCCCAGGTGTGTGAAGTGCTCCAAAGTCCCTCACAAATTCTGCTAATACCTGACAGTATCACTAGGGTCTAGCAAACACCCACATCTTAGGTTCAACAATTCTTCACCCAGGATCCTAGACTTACATAAGCATACAAGTGTGGACAATGTTCTTCAAGTATTAAGACAGAAAAAGATGGAGACAACCTAAACATCAGTTGTCATGGAAATGGCTAAATAAATGATGGTGTGCCCACATTAGGCCATCTCACGCAGCCATGAATATCTACAATATTGAGATTTTATTTTAATCATGTTGAATATCTTGGGGGAGAAAAATTCTGGTGTAGGTATATGTGTCTGGAGAGACACAGATGAGTTCACTGTGACTTCCTGCAGGGAGTGAAAGGTTGGAAATGAAATTAAAATAGAAAACTTTTATCCCTTACTTTAATTACACTATATTGTCTGAGTTTTTTACATAGGCATGTATCATTTATCATTAAATTAAAATAAAAATGTAAAACTATGTAGCTGGTAGAAGTTAAAAATCCATAAGTGTAGATAGATGATAGATAGATAGATAGATAATAGATGATTGATAGATAGATAGATTACTTTATATTCATTCCTAAGACAAACCTACTGAAAGTTGGCAGTTCAGGATTTGACTGTCATGACAAGGACACAAAGAAAATTGTTCTCTTAAGATTAAAAGGAAAAAGCTACTGGTTCCAACTCATCTGGGGTAAAATGACTTCATATACCCTGGTGGAAGCCTTCTCCAATGTCAAATTCACCCATAGTTTCTCTCCCCTCTCTTCTGTGCTCATTGGTTAACAACGTACAAGCCATATGATGCCTTCTATCAGCAGAAAAATTTTGCCAACCCTGGATGTCAAGAACTGCCTCAAACAAAGTTTCAGCCTCAACTAATTTCGCCCTGCCCTCCAAGCCTGAGGCTGGGAGCTCCGAGGTTTCCAGACACACTGACGAATACTAAAGGGGATAAAGAGTCTCCAGTCACAAAACTCTGCCCTTTGTTCAAAACTGAGTGTGAACTGGGAAACTTAAGGTTGGAACCTCGGGCTAAACCTTTCATCACAACAGCAGAACTTTGGTCTCACCTTGTCTGGTCTCCCTCTCAGAGACTCAATTCCCACCCGCTCTCCACAGACCAGGAAGACAGCTCCTGGTCTCACCTGGACTCTTCTCTTTTTAGAAATGAAAGCAGAACAGAATCTTGACAAAGCTATAGATAATACATGAAGATACATAAAGATATAAAGTGAAAAGCACCTGCAGAATTCCCCACACGTACAAATAAGCACTGTTATCCTTTGATATATTGATATATCCTGTTGCATGTTTCCTATGTGCGTATATACACATGTGGGTATGTAAATATAATATACGTAAATAAAAGACTTTTTAAAATTATTGTGCTATTTGCTAGCCTGTCTTCTTTTAAATAAAGCTGTATCCCAGACATCTTTCATCTTTATTGGTCCGTAAATATAAATTTACACCATCACTTTTAACAGTCACATAGCATTTCCTTGTATAGATCAATTATTATTTATTTAACCAATCCTCTATTGATTTACATTTAGGATGTTTCCTATTTGTCTCTGTGATCTGTTGATTCTAAAATCCGACCAAACACTGTCACCATCTGTGTAGTCTCAGATTAGAATAAAGGGCATCACCTCCCCATCACCTCCTCTGTGCCCTTTGGACCATGGTGGGTTTGCTGGAGAGAGAATTAGAAAGTGACCAAGTTGATGAGACTTTAGAAATTCCAACTTATTACAAGAAGACTTGAATGAAGAAATGCAGGACTTAGCAAAATAGAGCACAAGTTTAAATGCAATAGGGTTTGCAAATTTATCATTATAACACCACTATATTCTAAAGTACAATTTATAAAAAGGACTAAACTTGGCTATCACTTCAAATACTGGGATGCATCCGTCTATGTCATTTTCCTTCTTTTCCTCTCAGAAACGATGTTTCGGGTCTTCACTTACCTGAAAGCGTTGCTGTTTCTTGAAGGGTCACTGACGTCACCTCATCACTCCTTGTCGTTCTCAAGTAAAAATATTTCTGATGGATCCACGAGTGTTATCAGTCTTCACATCTGTTCCATAGCATTGGTGAGCAGCATACACGCTACTGAAATGTCACCCGCTACCTATTCAATTAAAACCATAAGCAACTTAGCAGAATTATCTTAGTATTTCCTTTAGCTTACAATTCCTTTCGGAGGTTGGAAGTCGTGCTGGTTTCTCAGGGCTGCCATAACTAAGTACCTCAGGCTGGGTGGTTTAAACAGCAGATATTTATTTCCTCACAAGTCTGAAGGCTAGAAACCAGAGGTGAAGAGCGGGCAGGCTTGGCTTCTTCCGAGGCCTCTCCCTTGGGCTTGCACACGGCCATCTTCTCCCTGGGTGCCCGTGCGGTTTTCCCTCTGTGTGTATCTCTGTGTCCTAGTTCCTCCCCTTATAAGGACACCAGTCCTAATGGACTAGGGTCCACCCTCATGACCTCATTTTAACTTAACTACCTCTTTAAAGATCCTATCTTCGAATACAGCCACATTCTGAGGTACTGGGGATTAGGGATTCAATAGAGATTTGGGGGATGGGGGGACACAATTCAGCCATCGTAACAGATGAGATATAGTTCATGAGCAATGGGATTACAACTCAAAAGATGAGGGTCTGGTCCCAGCTCAGACACGTACTATGATGTTACCCTGGACGAGTCCCTTAGCCTCCCCGGGTTTTGGCTTCCTTGGCGGGTGGTGACAAAGCCCCTCACCAGTGGAGGGAGCCAGGCTGTCCTGAGGCCCCCATTACCTGCCCCAGAGGAGCGACTAGGGCACAGACCCCTTCACAAGACACGTTCTAGGGCTTGCCCACCTGGTCACCTTGAGAATCTGGCTGGGCAGCCCTCTCGGGAGCAGACCCTGTTGGCTGGGCTCAGAGAGCCTGGTGTATAGAAACCAGGAGAGGCCCTGGGACACGTAGAGGTCCGTCCCTGCTGGACACACTCGCCTTGCGAGTCAAAGTGGCCACGAGAAGGACCTGTAGGGTGTTAAAAGTCAGAACAGAGGAACATCACAGGAGCCTGCTGGAATGGTCCTCAGCTCTGACTGCTTCATGCACTCGTACTCATTACATGGCCATGCTAAGGACATAGAGATTAAGTCCTCTAGTTAGAAAATCGCCAATGAACAGCACACGGTGAGCAAATTCTGTATCTGCCCACCTTTCCTATCCCAGGAAATTTAAGTCAATTAAAATAAAATAAAATTTAAAAGTCAGTTCCTCAGTCACAACTCGCCCCATTTCAAGTGCTCAGTGACAACATGTGGCCAGTGGCTACCACACTGGACAGTGTACATGTGGAACATTTCCATCAGTGCAGAAAATTCGACTGGGCAGAGCTGCTATAGCCTATACAAAAAGTTCAACTGTTAGTTTCTAATTTTTCTACTCCATGACTCTGAACATGAGCACTGAATACATATTTCCTCAAGAAACATCTCTGGCATTCATGTTTTAAGTTACTGCACATGTAATATTAACATTAACAATACTAATAGTCTGTACTATATTACTTAGACGTACTTCACATATGTAATTCATTTAATTATTACAAGGACTCTATAATGTTAGTACTATTACTGTCCCAATTTTACAGATAAGTGAATTGATGCACAGAGAGGTTAATCTCTCCACCAAAGGTCACACAGCTATTAAGAGACAGAGTTGGTTTGAAACCCAGGATGTTTCTGAGGCTCTTACTGTGCAAGATGACATAAGTTGACCAACAGCTGGTCAACCTCGCCATGCCTCAGTTTGTTTAGTTAACCGTCACCTTCAGAGTCCTTCACTACCTCCTAAACATATATATTAACTGAAGCTGGAAATGCCTCAGAACTTGGTTAGACTCTGAATCACAGTCGAGGGCTTATACGAGGAGCCACACGGCTCTAATTAGATTGTGACTGCGTTGGACTACATAGCTTCACGAAGTTTAGCACCTACACTTCGAGTCATCATAAACAGTTACAAGATATGGTAGACCCTCAAGACTCAGGGATTCCGGATGTGCAAATTCATCTTCTTGCTAACATTTATTTGTCTCTCCAACATCAGTGCTCCCAGAGCCTTCACGGTGGTTGGCAGACCCGCCCAGAGAGGTGAAAAATGTGTCACCGCAAGTACAGGTACCCAGCTGAGGATGAGCGAGGTGACACTGCCTCCCTACTTCAGCTCTCACACTGTAAAAGGTGTCCTTTCCACACTCTGTCTGGTGCCATATTTTCAAATTTTTGTGTTTCTTGTTGGCGATTTCACTGTTTCAAAGGGTCCCCCAAGGGTCCTGCTAAAGTGCTACCTCATGTTACTAAGTGCAGGACAGCTGTGACGGCTTTAACACTATATAACGAGATATCTTTAAACTGTTGCCTACTGAGTATGAAACATCCAGGTGGCCTTGCTGGCCTCTGTCCAGAAGTGACTTCTTTCTCTCAGTAACATTTTATACACATACCCTTCTGGTAGTTACCAAAAACTTTCATATATACTTAATGTATATGTGTGATCTCCTTATTATTGGTAGATTGCAAACTTGATGACAGGAGGTAGGGTGTGTAATTTATTTTTATAAGCTCTTATAGCGCCCATCTAGCACAAAGCCTTGTGTGTAGTTGGTGCTTAATTCATGTAATGCGTTAAAGAATGGGTGGATGGATGGACGGACGAACAGATGGCTTCCAGCAGTCTCAGAGATGTGACGTAAAAGACAGAAACACGAAAAATGGATCCCAAGTAATAGAATTCTGATCTGAAATTTGCTCCCGGGAAACATGAGTCCTGCTTTGTTTTATGTTCGCTTAAATGTATAAGCTGACGGTCTTTCAGAGAATTTATCAAACACGCAAAGAAGAAAAAGAGTCAAATTATGAAGCAACATGGATTAATGTGGCTGCTCGGAAACATTTCTACTTATGAAACACATTAGAGGTGATGTGACATAATTAGCAGTGTTAATCGTACTAAAGGTGATTTCTATGGTAACTCAGCACATCAATTCTGTGTACATTATTAATTCAGGAGATAATTTTTTAGGCTACAAACTCATAGCTTGTAAAAATTAAAATATCCATTAAGTAACTCCATTACCTCTGCTATGTAATCACTGGGTCTCCTGAAGGATTGATGTTCACTCTTATTAGTGATTCTCGCTTGTCTTCACCCTCCTAGCAGGACAAGCCCCTCTCCAGTAGGACTATACGCTTAATAGTAATTATCATTGCAGATATCATGTTTGATCTGTCTGGTCTGTAGGAAATGAGCTGCTCATCTTTGGGGATCAATTGTCATTTAATACATCAGAAAAGCAATTAGCTAAGTAGTAACCTAATATTCTGTGACTACCCATCCACCTCTAAAAGGTAGCTAGTTTATTCCCAGTTGACTCATGAAACAAGCCCTAAGGTTATTGCTAAGTATTATTTACAGAGAGAAATCCTTACCTTCCCCAGCGATTAAATACAACTTGCCGTTCTTTAGTGTCAAAGATAATATTTCAAATTAAAGTAGTCCCCCCAAATGCCCTTATCTCCTGCCCCACACAGCACTTTCAGAACATCTGGGCTTGGCTTTTTACGTCTTTGATCTTCCTAGCTTCTCTGAGCCTCTACTCTTATCAATAAAATAATCTTACCAGGATACTGCGCATTTATGAGATAATATTGATATGTCTAAAGGCCACACATAGCTTATCAATAAACGTTACCTGGGCTAACGGATTGTGAGATTGACACACGTTCCTGCACGGAAGCTATGCTGTTCTCCTGTCCAAGCGAGCCGATGGGATTTTTCAGTTTCCGATTTCTATGTGAAGCACAAACACAAAATCTTCTAGCATCCTCTGGTTCTACAAGGATCAACTCAGCCTCTTCATTTGGTATTGACAGTCTCCTTTCACTGCCAAGGTCACACATAAAATAGCAAGTCAGCTAAAGCGTGAGAAAACTAAGGGTGGTGCACGAAGAAAGGGCCGAGGAAAGGAACATGGAGCCTGCTCTGTTCAACCTCCCTGCAGGTTGTCACGTTCCTGATCTCTGCCTGAACCTATTCTATTTCGTTATTCTTTAATACCCAGTCCCGGGACTCTGGTCTTGCCGCATTTTATAATAAACCGTGCTGCATTTATCTTGATCCATTCTGAAAATACTGATCAAGCAGCTGCTTTGGGCCAGGCTCGGGGCGGATATGGGTCCTGCCCTCCAGAAGCTATACCAGTTGGAGGGAAGAGCATCGTGGTACACAGATCAGCAAGAACACAGTACAGACCTGTTGCTTCTAGCCAAGGGCTCACTCCACCCACAGCCTGAATGAAGCCTGGTACAGCCAGACATTTGCCAGCTTCATAATTAATCCTGCCTGCCTCCACCCAGCTCTTCCTCGCTGGCCTCTGTCCTCCTCGACACCCTCCCGTTTCCTCCCGGAACCTCCTGCATCAGCTTGTCAGGGGCCCCCTCAGCTGTATCACTGGCTCTGGAGCACACGGCCTGCTTGTGTGTTCAGTGCCTGGGCTTGGGTCAGCGTTCAGAACCCTCCTCTTGACCTTCCCCAGAGCTCCTTGCCCCCATGACCCCTTCCCCTGGTTGGAGGTTCTCAACGACGCTCCACAAACACTTGGTGGTCCCAGAGCCCTTCGAGGTGTGCGCAAGGTCAAGATGTTTCGTGATGACATTTAGACCTTTCCCGCCGCAGGGACGTTCGCAGTGATGGGGCAAAGCGATGGTGGGTAAAATTGCCAGTGCTTAGCATGGATCAAGGCAGCAACACCAAACTCTGCCAGACATCACTGAATTCATCACCGCCGCTTTTTTTAAAAAAAAAAAAGCCAGAGCTACCTAAGGAGACTGGCTACCAAGACAGCCTCCTGGAGCAATGCCACTTCATTTGTGCAGGGCCATCTGGCTAGGTCTGGACTGGGATGTGAGTGAGAAATAAACTCCTAGATTATTGAAACAACTTTTTCATGTGTCTTTTGTTACAATATGGCTTGTACCAAAATTAATGCATAGTTGAGGACAAGTTCTTAATAGCTACGTTTGTTTCTACTGTATTCAGAGGTTTGGATCTCAGAATTTCAAGGGCTAATTCAACATGAGGAAGCAAAATCAATGACTGCTGGGCCCTATCTCAAAGTGCTGGGAGGCTGTGATTCGCCATTATTCTTCCCCAAGTTGGGAGTGTCAAGGCTCTGGACCCACTAACTCCACCATAAATAGACACTTTTCCAAGAGATACCTCTGCACTTCTTTGCGGCATCTTCTTACCAGACAGTTTGCCAAATGCTTCAGAGAATGTTTCACATTCTCTGTGAAATGTGAAACATTTCACATGTGTAAATGTGTTTCACATGTGTAAATGTGTAAGAAATTATTAGGGGGCTTCCCTGGTGGCACAGTGGTTGAGAATCCGCCTGCCAATGCAGGGGACACAGGTTCGAGCCCTGGTCTGGGAAGGCCCCACATGCCACAACTACTGATCCTGCACTCTAGAACCTGTGAGCCACAACTACTGAGCCCGCGTGCCTAGAGCCCGTGCTCTGCAACAAGACAAGCCACCACAATGCGAAGGCCGCGCATCGCAACGAAGAGTAGCCCGTGCTCGCCGCAACTAGAGAAAGCCCACACGCAGCAATGAAGACTCAATGCAGCCAAAAATAAATAAAATTATTAAAAAAAGAAATTATTAGGAAATCCTTAGAGTGTATTACAGTGAAGGTATTCATAATTTTTTATCCATTTCTAAAACTCTAAATCTGGGGATTTAATTTAAGGGATTACTTAATTTTAAAAGTGGGAAAAGTGTTATACAGATACCTATATATTATTTTAATATTTTTAACAAGAAAAATTGCAAACAAATGTCCCATAATTGAAAGATGACCAAATAAATTATGGTGTAGCCTCTCTCTGGTTTTTTAATTAATATGTCAAGAATTATAAGCATGAAGAATATAGAAACATGTAATAATAAGCCTAATACAAAGGTAAGTCAGGAAAACAGAATAAAAGTTTTACTTCTACTATGATTTTAAGTATGAAAAATAACATATCCATTAGGACAAGAAGTAGCGAAGAAACAGAAAACTAGGAGGATATGGGTTACAGGGCTGGGGTGGATACTCTGATGATGCTGTTTGTTCTTTTTTTTTTAAATATATATTTATTTATTTACTTTTGGCTGCATTGGGTCTTTGTTGCTGCACGTGGGCTTTCTCTAGTTGCGGCGAGCGGGCTTCTCATTGTGGTGGTTTCTCTTGTTGAGGAGCACGGGCTATAGGCTCGCGGGCTCAGTAGTTGTGGCTCGCGGGCTCTAGAGCACAGGCTCAGTAGTTGTGGCGCACGGGCTTAGTTGCTCCGCGGCATGTGGGATCTTCCCGGACCAGGGCTTGGACCCGTGTCCCCTGCATTGGCAGGAGGATTCTTTGCCACTGTGCCACCAGGGAAGCCCCTGTTTGCTCTTTTAAATTGTCCATGACTGTTGCTTTGGTATTATTTGAGCAAAAAATGGTTTTTCTTTTTTTTTTTTTTTTTGCGGTACGCGGGCCTCTCACTGTTGTGGCCTCTCCCGTTGCGGAGCACAGGCTCCGGACGCGCAGGCTCAGTGGCCATGGCTCATGGGCCGAGCCGCTCCGCGGCATGTGGGATCTTCCCGGACCGGGGCACGAACCCGTGTCCCCTGCATCGGCAGGCGGACTCTCAACTACTGCGCCACCAGGGAAGCCGGTTTTTCTTTCTAATTTTCTTCTTTTTTCCATTTCTCTTCTAAACTTATGGGGATAGAACATGCTTGCTGGTTAGTACAACACCTGTGGCACACAGCACCCTTCCCAATGTCCCCAGCCAGGTGACAATACACAGCCAGGTGGGAGCCCTTCCATGGCTCTGTCCATGTTTACACAAACAATGCACACCTAGAGTCACACTTTAGGGAATCTTTGTTTTTGATACTTGCTTTTATGAAAAAAGAGAAAGAGATGATGATAAATGGATTACCTTGCTATGTTTTTCATGCTTAATGGTACATTCTTGATATCTCTTTAAATCATTCTTTTCTTTTAATAGCTGTATAGTAATGTATCGACTATTTTCAAACAAAAATAAAATAAAAGGCATTGCCCTCCCATTACTCGTTTTGCTGCCTCACCCCTGCCACAGTATCTTGAGCGAATTCCCCGAAGTGCCCGGTCTCTTGACCTGCTCGTGACCTTTGCAGTACTCACATCAGTAGCTCTGGTGCAGCTACAGGATCTGTGTAACGAAGCGGGAATGTTCAGCCCAGACACTGAGAGACTCAGGGCAGCTTTCCCCTCCCGAGACCCCGGAGAGACATCCAAGGATGTCTTCACCTGCTAATGAGTTGTCCGCTCTGTGCTGTGACAATTCTGCCACAGTGCAGCGTCCTCGCTACTGATTTCATCTCTAGAACACACTGCACAGATCTGGGGAGAATTTTCATGGCATTAATAACTTATTTTTCTTATCTTCTTCCAATTTAAGATAGAGGTCTTTGATGATTTGTAGATGACCGTCCTTCCATCAAAATCAAATAATTCATAAAGTCAACTTCACAAACAGGTGATATAAGGTAATTTAGGGAAAACTACAAGATTCAATGTGTGCTTTTAACAGCTCAAACTTGGCTATCACTGAAATTTTGCAATTGCTTGATGAAACGGTTCAAAAGATCGTCTCTCCAATATTTCACTTACTGAGTAGTTTTGTCTTTCCCCATCACTTTGTCCATCACAATTTATCAGGTCTTCAAATACACCTTGTCTGTACATACAGATACCCTCCTTAGGACATTCTCCTTTGCCAGTGAAATATCTGATTTGATTATAAAACACTTCTTTCTTCTTGCTATCATGTATCCTTCTGAATTGATAGCATATGAGTTAATCGACTGGGTGGATGTGAAGATGAAAGCCCAGATAATTAGAGAGTAGATTAATCATTTGTCTTACAGTCAGTTCATGAACTCAAAGCCTTTTCGATAATGTATCATATGAAGTCATTCTCCTGAGACCAACATGAACAGAGAAAAAGCAAGAGAAGTAAGACAGAAATATACATACTCTGTCCCTTTCTAAAGCAGAAAAAAAGCTGAAAAACTTTTGACTAAAGGCCTTAAACTGTCTGGGCACAAAAGACAATACTTTGTAGAGTCATTGATCCGGAAGAGAGTTGGCAGAGAATACAAAAGATTACAGTGTAACACCACATGGAGAACAGCCAGGTTCCTTTGATCCACAGAGGACTCCACACAAGAAAGATCTAAGGTTGTTGAGGGGGTGGGCCTTCAGCTTGCTTCTAACAAACAGAGCATGGGAAAGGTGAAGGGATTTCACAGGTATATTCAAAATCACTGATCAGTTGAATAAGTTACCAAAAAGGGAGATTATCCTGCGTGGGCCTGATCTACTCAGGTGAGGACGAGATTACAGAGGGGTTGGTAGGTTTGTTCACTATCTTGATTGTGCATCAAGGTGATGCTGTAACAGGTATATACACGTGTTAAGGTATATCACCTCGTAAGCTCTAAAAATGTACAGTTTGTTTATGTCAAGGATACCTCAATAAGGCTGTTTTACAGTCTCTACAGTGATACCCCGTCACACTCAGAATAAAATCCAATCTCTCTCGCCTGGCCCACAAGGCACTGCACACTGTGGTCCTCAAAGCTCATCTCCCGCCACTCCCCCCACTGCGTTCACTCTTTTGTAACCACAGAAGTGTCTTCTTCCTATTATTCAATAGATCAAATTTATTCTCACTTTTTTTTTGCATCTGATTTTCTTCTGCCTGGAACACTCTTCCCCTGACTCTGCCCCTTTCATTGTTCAAATCTTAGCTCAAATGTCCATTTCTCAGAGAAGCCTTCTCTTCATCCCACCTACAGTGGCCCCCTAAACCACCCATCACTGTTTAATCCTTTGCAACACTTGGTCCTACTTGTTCCAGTGTCTATAGCGTCACCTGTAGGAGTGCCTAGGGAAGGTCTACGCTGAGATGAGTCTGGAGGACGATTACATTGTGTTAGCAGTGGAGGTGGGAGGGGGTGAGGAGCCCATGAGCATAAGCAGAGAGAGGAACAAGGAAATCAGCCTGGAAAATATCTGGGACTAAAAGCATTACCTGCATTTGGGAAGCAATAACTGTCCAACGTGAATGTAAACTGATGTGACCACTATGGAACTCTAATTTGAAAAGTTACATGCACCCCAGTGTTCATAGCAGTGCTATTCACAATAGGCAAGACATGGAAGCAACCTAAGTGTCCATCAATAGATGAATGGATAAAGAAGATATGGTACATATATATACAATGGAATATTACTCAGCCATGAAAAGGATGAAGATTTAGCCATTTGCAATGACATGGATGGACCTAGAGATTATCATACTAAGTGAGCAAGTCAGACAGAGAAAGAAATACTACATGGTATCACTAATACGTGCAATCTAAAGAATAATACAAATAAACTTATTTACAAACCAGAAACAGACTCACAGACATAGAAACCAAACTTATGGTTACCAAAGGGGAAGGGGGGAGAGGGAATAAATTAGGAGTATGGGATTAACAGATACACACTACTATATATGAAATAGGTAAGTAAGGATTTACTGTATAGCAAAGGAAACCCCATTCAGTATCTTGTAACAGCCTGTAATGGAAAATAATATGGAAAATAATATATAGATAGATATAGATAAAGGTATAACTGAATCACTTTGCTGTATACCTGAAACTAACACAACATTGTAAATCAACTGCAGTTCAATAATAAATAAGTGAACATAAATGTCCAGCACGGAGTTACAGACATGAAGCAGCCACCAGGTCACGCAAAGTCTTGTGTACGATGCTTGAGAAACAAGACTTTACGCTAAAGAGGTTTTAAGTAGGGTGGTGACAAGCTAACTTTTGTTTTCAGTTATTTACTCTGATGGCAGACAAAATAAGAAACCCTGGTACTGAAGATAGAGGAAAGTGGAGTATTCTGAGATGTATTTAAGAGATGAAGTAAACAGCACTCAGCGACTGATGACTGTTATATGAAAACGTCACATCTATTCCCCACGCTGTTAGTTGGCTTGTCTAGACAGAGGACGGGACCACCCATCTGAGAGCTAGAATACAAAAGGAGCTAGTTTAGGTGACGTGTGGACATGTTGAACTTGACGATTATCCTTCATGGCCAGGAAGGGATATCCAGCAGTCTGGACACTTATGAGCTAGGCCTGGGGAAGCAGGCTGATCTGAAATCATTAAATTCCAAGCCATGAGAACAACTGCAATTATCCCAAGAGAGCTTGTGTGAGTAGGAGAGCTTTGAGCCAGGAATGGAACCACTGGGAACACCATGATCATTTCTAACATTTATTGCCACTCGCTGTGTGACTGTGCTCTGTAGGAGCTTTGACTGTCTTAGCTCATTTAATCTCATATCATAAATCTGCTTTCCCATCTTTCTTACTGGAATCTTCTGCAACCAGTGCGTAAAAAGTACCTACATTTACATGGACATCAAGCTTTTCTATTTAGTAAAGTAATTTATGATCAGACTTTCTCAGAATGTTTTTAAACTCTGCAATATTTTGCCTATCTTCTAGGATCAGAATCTGATGCAGTAATAAAGATATTTGCCTTATTATTCCAGCAAATGGAATACATTTGCTGGAATACATCCCAGCAAATGTATAGATATAATCAAAACTCACCTTTGAAAACAAGTCTACCAAGTCATGCTTCTTTTCTAAAAATATAGTTATTCTCTCAGTGAGTAACTAGTTTTTAAGTCAACTACTCTGTGAGAGGATATAAATTACGAGGTTTCCTGGGGCTCTGAAGTTATGAAACTCATTCTGCCTGCTTACTTTGAAAGAGCTATTTTCTTTGAGTCAGAAATTTACTTATACAGACTATTTTACCATAATATTGGACCTCTAGAATAGGAAATATTCTACTTTTATTCCATTTACATGTATTTCTTTCTAGAGTTCATTGCTCAACATTTAATGAAGAACTGTTAATTGTATGGGTAACGACTGTGTTTTTCCTCTCAGATATATCACTTAATGAATTTAATTAAGAATGTTGGAGGTCTGCTTCTTAGGAGGACATTTACAACTTATTATGGGCTTTAACAAATTAAGAATTTGTTCCATAAAGTCAGATTATTACAGAAACATCAAATTAAATTTTGGATGGGTTTATCACTTAATCATTCAGGGTGAGTTTCATGATGCTTAATTTCTCCTGAGTTTAATTATGAACTTCTAATGCATTTATAATTACCATGAATCTTAACTTGGCACTTGTACATATACTGATTTCTTAAAATTCATCACCTCAAGACTGTAGCAGACATTTCCGTAAATATCGCTGCTTCCTTTTGTTGCTGTTTATGTCTCATCTGCTCCCTACGTAACTATACTATTATTGGTTAGGTTCTACATTCATTATTTCACTTAATCACCGTGCAATACCACTTATAGGATTAAGTGTCATTATCTGCATTTTATAGATGGAAAATAAAAAGGAAGGCAAGTGAGATTAGAGAACTTTCCCAAGTTCAAACAACAGAAGTGGTAGAATGAGGATTTGAACTCATGCCTTTCTGATTCCAGAGCTCGCACTTCTTCATCTCAGCTCTGATGAAAGCCTCTTTAAGTAGGGCAACTGCGTGATCCACCTTTGTATTACAACCCATGTGTACTGCATCCAGCAAGTAGTGGAGCTAAATACTGTCTGATTGGATCAGTGAAGGAATAAGAAAATGCTTGCAAGATAAAGTTATGTGGGAATATATAATATAGAAATTCTCAAAACACACCTGGGATATACAAAGAAGGAGTACCACCCCAATTATGCAGGTGAGGAAACCAAGCCTCAAAAGCCAACACAGCTAAGAACAACTAGTAACTGGTAGGTTTGAGAGTCACACCAGGTCTTTTATCCCCAGAATCAGGTCTGTCTGCCCTGCATCCCGTTGTCCTGCATTGCAGAGAGAGAGATCAGAAAGCCTGGCTCAGAGAGGCCATGCAGCAGAGTGGTGAGGAGGATGGACTTTGGTGTCAGCACAAACTCTGATCAAGACCCCAAACCCTACTTATGAGTGATGGGATCTAGAGCAATAAGCCTTAAGACTCCTCATCTGTGAAGCGAGAAAAACAGAAGCTCCCACCTTACAGGACTGTTTGGAGCATCATATGAGATAATACAGTAGCATCTAAGCTCTGAGTAAGGGACTCAATATACGTCACCCAATATTTTATATACTCTTTTTGCTGCAAAACGGAGCCTCGCAAAATTGGAAGCTCGGGTCACTAGTGGCACACAAGTTGGATGTTGATGGTACAAAGACAAGCGTTAGTAACACTGAATCACAACTGCAAGAGCTCAGTCCCCTTTTAATGATCTTTTCATTCATATAATCAGACTGTTACCATTCACTTTTAACACGATCACTTGTTGGTCTCTTTTTTTAACAAAGATCAAGCTATACCTGAAAGTATTAACAGGTAATAGTAACAGGAGAGAATTTAGTTTAAATGTTATGTTTTTATCCCTTTCATTTTTATATTTACTTTATTTGCATATTAAGAATACTTTGTTTTCCATTTTATAATAGTGATATTATTTTCCCTTTAAATCAATTTATGAAGTTTGGAAAAGTGCCAAACTAGCAAAAGACAGCAAACCACACAAAAGTCCATCAGTAGGAGACGAGCTGAATAAACGCTACACATCCATACAGAGCATACCAGGCAGCTGTAAAAGAATGAAGACTATCCCTATATACTCACATAAAGCTACCCCCAGGGTGTACGAGGTGAAGAAACGCAAGGTGAAGTAAAGGGCGTATGGTAGGCTATCACTTTCCAAGAAAGAGAAGATATCTACATCTCCACTCTCAATGAGTATATATACTTTACATATTTATATATACGTGTATATATTTGAAAAATATGTATATTTGCCTACATTAAAAATAAAAATATAAACCAGAAGCTGAAAACATATTGTCTAAAGGGGAAGGAGACATGAGGATGAAAGAATTAGGATGACGGCTAGACATATCTGAATATATTTTAAAGATTGGACTTCGGAAATATGTAAATGTTTTATGTAGTTCTAAAACAGAATTAGTGAATTCTGCTTCCAAGAAAACAGAGTAAACCTACTTTTCCCTACCCTCCTGCTAACTGCAGCTGAAAACCCCGGACAGTATATGTAAAACAAACATACAAAGACTCTGAAAGACAGAGAGAGGCAGACAGACTAGAAAGGGACCTCAGAACCTTAGAAATGACCTGGTGAGTTTTCTTTTTTGCCTCAAATGCCCTGAATGAATACTGGAAAAGCTGGTTACTTGGAAATGCCAATGGACACAGACAAAAAAAAAAACTCCCCCGGGCTTCCCTGGTGGCGCAGTGGTTGAGAGTCCGCCTGCCGATGCAGGGGTCACGGGTTCGTGCCCCGGTCTGGGAAGATCCCACATACCGCGGAGCGGCTGGGCCCGTGAGCCATGGCCGCTGAGCCTGCGCGTCCGGAGCCTGTGCTCCGCAACGGGAGAGGGCACAACCGTGAGAGCCCCGAAAACCGCAAAAAAAAAAAAAAAAAATCCCCGAGAGAAACCTGCTCTCTCAACTCAGAGGACCGGGAAAGGGGCGGCCTAACAAGAAAGAGAATGTTTGGACAGTAACCAGCCTACTCCAGCCAATCACCACAGACAGCTGCAGACATACACGTCTCCCACACCCCAGGCCAAGGCTGAGTGGAGACAAAGTGCCCCGTGTCCCCCCTCCTCCAGGTGGTGTTAGAGCAGCACAGGGGGGGTGCCTGGACTTCAAGCCACACCAGTGAGAACGAGGTTCCCCACCCTCTGCAGGCAGGGCGATGTCAGAGGACACAAGATCAATATACAGAAAGCAACTGTACTTCTATACACCATCAGTGACCATATGGAAGCATTCATAATAGCTCAAGAAAAATGAAATCTAATAAAACACGAACAGGAATTTTATGCTGAAAACTAATGAAAGAGAACATCTAAATAAATGGAGAGACCTACCAGATTGATTAACTGAAGGACTCAACAAAGTAAAGATGTCGATTTTCCCCAAATTGATATCCTGGTTTAACATCCTTTCTTTCAGAATGCCAGCAAGATTTTTATGGAGACGTAGACAAACTTATATGGAAAGGCAACTGAACTAGAATCGTTCAAACAATTCTGAAAATTGGAAAACAAAGTGGGAGGAATCACTCTCCTTGATTTCAAGACTTGTATAGCCACGGAAATTAAACAGTGTAGTTCTGGCTGGGGGGAGACACAAAGATCAACGGAATAGAAAAGAAAACCCAGAGAGAAAGCCACACAGATACAACCAACTAATTTTTGACAAAGATGTAAAAGCAATTCAATGGAAGAAGATAGTCTTTTCAACCAACAGAGCTAGAGCAACTAGATACTCACAGACCAAAAAAAAAGAAAAAGAAAAGAACTCCAAACTACACTTCACACTTTACACAAAAATTAACTCAAAATTGATCATAAATTTAAATGTATATAAAACTATAAAAATTTTAGAAGATAGTATAGGAGAAAATCTTCAGGACCTAGATCTTTGTTAAGAGTTTTTTAGACATAACACCAGAAGCATGATCCCTAAAACAAAAGCTTGGTAAATTGGACTTGAAAAACATTTGTTCTATGAAATATTCTGTTATGACATGAAAAGACAAGTTAGATACTGGGAAAAAATATTTGAAAACCATGTAGCTGACAAAGGACTCGTATCTAGAACCCTCAAAGCTCAACAGTAAAGCTACGATCCAATAGAAAATGGGCAAATGACATCTCACCAAAGATGGTATACAAATGGCAGATAGGCACATACAAGGATGTTCAAGATCACTAGCCCTTAGGGAAATGAAAATTAAGACCACAGTGAACCACCACTACACACTTATTAGAACAGTTAAATAAAAAGCGGTGACAGTACCAAACGCTGGAGGATGCGGAGAAACTGGATTTCTCACAAATTGCTGGTGGCAATGTAAGTGGTACAGACATTCTGGAAAACAACTTTGCTTTCTTAAAAAACTAAAAATACGCTTACCAGACAACCTGTCAGTTGCACTCCTGGTTATCTATCCCAGAGAAACGGAACTTAGGTCCACACACACCTGTACATAATTGTTTATAGCAGCTTTATTAGTAGTGACCAAAACCTGAAAAGAACCAAAATGTCCCTCTGTAAATGGATGGTTAAACAAACTGAGGAATAGCCATACCACGGAATAAAAAGAGACCAACTATTGATATACCCAATTTGGATGTATTTCAAGAACATTATGTTGCTAAAGAAAAAAGGCTAATCCGAAAGGTCACAAGAGGTATAATTAATTTCATTTGTACAACATTCTCAAAATAAAAACTTCCTAGAGGTAGAAAGCAGATTGGTGGTTGCCGGGAGAGGGGGAGGGGGAGGGGGAGGGGTATAATTATAAAGGAGTAGGGTGAGGGAGGTCTTTATGGATGGGCTAGTTCTATATCTTGATTGTGGTGATGGTTACACAAATCTACCCATGCGACAGAATAACATAAACCTATATGCATACTTTTTACCAGTGTCATATTCTTGGCTTTGATATTGTACTATGATTATGTAAGATGAAACCACTGGAGGAAGCTGGGTAACGGGTATATGCAACTTCCTTGTACTATATTTGTAAATTCCTGTGAATCTATAATTATGTCAAAATAAAAAGATTTTTCTAATTAAAGGGGAAAAGAGAGTTCCTAAAAACTTAAAACGAAATGAAATAAATGAACCTAGTTGTGTAGCAAGTAAGTGGCATAATCACACAGAGAGATTTTATTTCAAGGGACTTTACGATCATTATCCTTAGGATACATCCTAAAGAAAAGAGATTAGCCAAACAAAATCTTCAACTGTTTCCGATAATCATATGGTTGGTGATAAAGTTATTCTTTTTCTGAGACAGTGCTGTGTGTATTGTGAGAGAAAGCGAATGTGCTATTCCATTAATGCCATTGGGAACTGACACTTTTGGTGTAGGTGAAGAGAAACAGACACTGAAGATCAATGAGGCTGAATAAAAATGTGCAGTTCTGGGCTTCCCTGGTGGCGCAGTGGTTGAGAGTCCGCCTGCCCATGCAGGCGACACGAGTTCGTGCCCCGGTCCGGGAAGATCCCACATGCCGCGGAGCGGCTGGGCCCGTGAGCCATGGCCGCTGAGCCTGCGCGTCCGGAGCCTGTGCTCCGCAACGGGAGAGGCCACAACAGTGAGAGGCCCGCATACAGCAAAAAA